TAAAATGAGTTTGGAAGTGTATTATTATCTGGCAACATGTCTCGAACAAGATTTATAAGTTCATCAAAACCATTATCTGATAACCTATGTGAAGCTTTATGCTTAAACATTGCAACCGAAGCTGGCATCTTTGTAAATGCCCTACAACCAGGATATAAAGGAGTTTCAGCATCATTAACTAAACTTTCAATCTCTTCATCTCTTCCATCAGGACGGTTTTCAGGATCTACATCATGTTGTGCATAGAAATCCTTAAACATCCTACTCGACTCAGGCATTTCTACAACATTCTGATTTGATGAACCTGGTTGCTCTCCATGAAATACCCAAGTAGTATATGTAGGATCCATACCTTTAATAACCAAATGTTCATAGACTGTATCATAATGATGATGCATTAGATTCCTACACTTAACACAAGGACATACTATTAGGGGTGGGCGCGGATCGGTTCAGTTCGATTCTGAAGAGAACCGAACCGAACCAAAATTTTTGGGTATTTAATAAATAGAACCGTCAGGTCCAAATATAATTATGGAACCGTTCGGGTTCGATTCCGTTAGGTTCAGTTTGGTTTGGTTCGGTTCCGTTCGGTTCTGTACTATAATTAAATTTTTTAACATTTATAAAAACATTACATAAATACAACTAATGACATATTCAATGGTTTTGAAATGTCAGAGACTAGTAGACTACCTTGTTCAAATGATCGCTAAGGTCAAAATTTCGGTTGGCGGAGGTCACAGCTTCGATCGGAGGTCGCAGTGTCGGTCGACGATTGTATAGGTTTCGGAATATCAGCGAGGCTGCAAGAGTCGAGACTGCGTTATGCACTTTAGTGTAGGTGTTTAGAGTTATTTAGTGGGTTGGATCTTGTTGGGCTAAGAAATGAGACAATAAGATGAGTAATTAGGCCAAAAATTTGAATTTAGAATTTGTTAATTTGTTTAGAAAAAATTAAAATTAAAATAATTTGATTTATTCAATATAAAAAAAATTAGAAAGATTCGGTTCTTGGTCTAGAACTAAGAACCGAATCGTACCCGTCGGTTCTCAATTCAGATACCCGTTCGGGTATTTAATTTGACAAGAACCGTCGGGTTCTGTTCGGTTCGGGTTCGGGTCGATCGGTTCAGTTCGGGAGATTTGCCCAGCCCTACATACTATCATTTCTAAATTACATTTTTTACGAGCTCGTTCAACAAAATTCTGTGCTCCATCGCTATATGTTCTTGAAAATCTACGAGTAAATCTTTATGATCATTATACATTGAAATTATTTTCATTTGGTAACTAGGTTCATAATATCTAATTTCAGATGATAACCTTGATAATTGCAGCCACTCTTTGTCCATTATACGCAAAGCTACTATCCAACACTAAACATCGCAATATTCAAAAAATAGACGTGCAGGATTAAGCTCCAACTAACTGGGCAAAGGTGAAATAGTAGAAAAAAGAAAATTGACGCAATATATCTTAGGTATAAAAGCAGTTCTCCTTTGGCAAAGAAGAAGTATGCCTTTGCATGTATACCTTGCCAAATAAATCAATCAATGATATTGCTCTAACGACAATCAAAATATAATTATTTAAGCCGACAAGGCAACAAAATAATTCATTAGGCCAGCAAAAGGTGCATACTTTGCATTACATATTTTTACATCGAACCATAAGAATGAGGATAGCAAGAAACAATCATTATAGATTTTGTGTGATATTGGTACTTCTAATGGTAGGAATGCAGTTTCCCTGATTTGGAAGTATTTCTACAAATTAACTTCGTCAATGTTCTGCCATGGGGTTTTAGGATAATGAATAAGGAGTTAAAGAAGCAAGATAGATATCGTCTTCCCTCTAATTGGATGGTGGTTGCTCTTGTATGTACATCTCCAATGGATAGAAACTAAAATCACACAAAAATGTGATTCTTGATATGTTGAGAAACTAAAAAAAAAAAAAAAGAATATAAAGATTACTGCACCAACAAATTGTTGGAAGAGACTATTAAAGTTAGAAGATCAAGACATGTTAATATCAAAATAAATAAGATCTAGCTTAGAATGTTGCTACACAAAAATGCAATAAATCAACAAACATTCATTCGTGATGCCACAAACCATACCTACAAATAAATTAGTATCTAATATCCAACGTAGAAATTTTTTTTTTTACTATGAGCAAATATCATAAATATGACATCTCAGTTTTAGTATGGTTCTCAAATCATTCAATGAATTCATACTTTAGGCTAAACCAAATGCTCAACAATGAATTCATACTTAAAAATACAAAATTGAATAAAAGCATGCATAGGCTACATGGTTATCCAACCAATAAAAAATTAGCTAAATGTTCAAGTCATAATAATTAAATTGAATACATACCAGGTTCTCTAACAAGGAAGAAAAGACG